AAATATCTAAAAACTTAAGTAACGCACCAAATTGAATTCTTGCCAGATGATTTATCATGATAAATAGACAAAAAATACAGAAGATTTAGACGAAATATTGTTTTTCTCTTCCTCAACAGTGTCTTGTGTGAAAACCGGAGAAATACTTGGCGATAGGCTGCAGTTGCAGTCCAAACCGACCATTTGCCTCACTTTTGCACAGAAACGATAGCCATGGATGACAAAATATCTAAAAACTTAAGTAACGCACCAAATTGAATTCTTGCCAGATGATTTATCATGATAAATAGACAAAAAATACAGAAGATTTAGACGAAATATTGTTTTTCTCTCCCTCAACAGTGTCTTGTGTGAAAACCGGAGAAATACTTGGCGATAGGCTGCAGTTGCAGTCCAAACCGACCATTTGCCTCACTTTTGCACAGAAACGATAGCCCTAGAGGACAAAATATCTAAAAACTTAAGTAACGCACCAAATTGAATTCTTGCCAGATGATTTATCATGATCAATAGACAAACAAGACAAAAGATTTAGACGAAATATTGTTTTTCTCTTCCTCAACAGTGTCTTGTGTGAAAACCGGAGAAACACTTGCCGATAGCCTTCAGTTGCAGTCCAAACCGACAATTTGCCTCACTTTTGCACAGAAACGATAGCCCTTGAGGACAAATTATCTAAAAACTTAAGTAACGTACCAAATTGAATTCTTGCCAGATGATTTATCATGACAAATAGACAAAAATACAGAAGATTGAGAAAAAAATATTGTTTTTCTCTCCCTCAACAGTGTCTTGTGCGAAAACCGGAGAAACACTTGGCGATAGGCTGCAGTTGCAGTCCAAACCGACCATTTGCCTCACTTTTGCACAGAAACGATAGCCCTGGAAGACAAAATATCTAAAAACTTAAGTAACGCACCAAATTGAATTCTTGCCAGATGATTTATCATGATAAATAGACAAAAAATACAGAAGATTTAGACGAAATATTGTTTTTCTCTCCCTCAACAGTGTCTTGTGTGAAAACCGGAGAAATACTTGGCGTTAGGCTGCAGTTGCAGTCCAAACCGACCATTTGCCTCACTTTTGCACAGAAACGATAGCCCAGGAGGACAAAATATCTAAAAACTGAAGTAACGTACCAAATTGAATTCTTGCCAGATGATTTATCATGATAAATAGACAAAAAATACAGAAGATTGAGAAAAAATATTGTTTTTCTCTCCCTCAACAGTGTCTTGTGCGAAAACCGGAGAAACACTTGACGATAGGCTGCAGTTGCAGTCCAAACCGACCATTTGCCTCACTTTTGCACAGAAACGATAGCCCTGGAAGACAAAATATCTAAAAACTGAAGTAACGCACCAAATTGAATTCTTGCCAGATGATTTATCATGATAAATAGACAAAAAATACAGAAGATTTAGACGAAATATTGTTTTTCTCTTCCTCAACAGTGTCTCGTGTGAAAACCGGAGAAATACTTGGCGATAGGCTGCAGTTGCAGTCCAAACCGACCATTTGCCTCACTTTTGCACAGAAACGATAGCCATGGATGACAAAATATCTAAAAACTTAAGTAACGCACCAAATTGAATTCTTGCCAGATGATTTATCATGATAAATAGACAAAAAATACAGAAGATTTAGACGAAATATTGTTTTTCTCTCCCTCAACAGTGTCTTGTGTGAAAACCGGAGAAATACTTGGCGATAGGCTGCAGTTGCAGTCCAAACCGACCATTTGCCTCACTTTTGCACAGAAACGATAGCCCTAGAGGACAAAATATCTAAAAACTTAAGTAACGCACCAAATTGAATTTTTGCCAGATGATTTATCATGATCAATAGACAAACAAGACAAAAGATTTAGACGAAATATTGTTTTTCTCTCCCTCAACAGTGTCTTGTGTGAAAACCGGAGAAACACTTGCCGATAGCCTTCAGTTGCAGTCCAAACCGACAATTTGCCTCACTTTTGCACAGAAACGATAGCCCTTGAGGACAAATTATCTAAAAACTTAAGTAACGTACCAAATTGAATTCTTGCCAGATGATTTATCATGACAAATAGACAAAAATACAGAAGATTGAGAAAAAATATTGTTTTTCTCTCCCTCAACAGTGTCTTGTGCGAAAACCGGAGAAACACTTGGCGATAGGCTGCAGTTGCAGTCCAAACCGACCATTTGCCTCACTTTTGCACAGAAACGATAGCCCTGGAGGACAAAATATCTAAAAACTTAAGTAACGCACCAAATTGAATTCTTGCCAGATGATTCATCATGATAAATAGACAAAAAATACAAAAGATTTAGACGAAATATTGTTTTTCTCTCCCTCAACAGTGTCTTGTGTGAAAACCGGAGAAATACTTGGCGATAGGCTGCAGTTGCAGTCCAAACCGACCATTTGCCTCACTTTTGCACAGAAACGATAGCCATGGAGGACAAAATATCTAAAAACTGAAGTAACGCACCAAATTGAATTCTTGCCAGTTGATTTATCATGATAAATAGACAAAAAATACACAAGATTAAGACGAAATATTGTTTTTCTCTCCCTCAACAGTGTCTTGTGCAAAACCGGAGAAACACTTGGTGAAAGGCTGCAGTTGCAGTCCAAACAGACCATTTGCCTCACTTTTGCACAGAAACGATAGCCCTGGTCGACAAAATATCTAAACAATTAAGTGACGCACTAAATTGAATTCTTGCCAGAAGATTTATCATTAAAAATAGACAAACAAGACAGAAGATTTAGAATTTTTTTTTTTTCTCTCCCTCAACAGTGTCTTGTGCAAAACCGGAGAAACACTTGGCGATAGACTGCAGTTGCAGGCAGCGGACAGAATTCAATTCAATGCGTCACTATTCAATTCAAGGCTAACCCCTTAGGGCATTTTTTTTTCAATTTTTGCCAAAACAATGTTTTGTCTGAATCTGCTGTCTTGTTTGTCTATTTTTCAGGACCGATCATCTGGCCCCAATTCAATCAATGCATCACTTTATTTTTTGAGTGAGCCTGTTCATGCGGACTTTGTCGTTTCTGTGCAAAAGTAAGGCTGCAAGGCTGTTACAACTGATAATACCAACGGATAATGTATCACCAACCAATAATGTCACACAAATTGACCGATACTGTATCACTAACCGATAATGTAACAGAAATTGACCGATAGTGTAGTAAATGTTACTACACTATCGGTCAATATTTGTTAAGACCGATAATGTGACAACAATCGACTGATAGTGTAGCACATTTTTACTACACTATCGGTCAATTTGTGTGACATTCTCGGTTATACAGTATCGGTCAATTTGTGTGACATTATCGGTTGGCGATACATTATCAGTTGTAACAAAGGCAAACGTTCCGTTTGGACTGTGACAGATTCGCAAGTTTTTCTCCGTGTTGACACAAAACACTTATTGATGGAGAGAAAACCGGATAAACTGAGTGTTTTAACCGTGAACAACAATCCGAAAGAGTCAACGTTCAAAACAACAAACCACTCGTTGTTAAGAGCAATAACTTGCGAAATACCAAATGTATTACTGAAACTTCGTCGAATAATATTTAATGTCTCACGTTCAAACATTAGTATTTGATGAGAATTTAAAAGAAATTACAAACACTTTCCAAAAAAATATTAACGTGTTAAACCTGAAAACACATTTCTAATGCATGTCGTCGTACATGACAAAAGTACTCTGTAGTGTGGTTCAGGTGATTGAGCAATTTCAGTATTTATTTTCATCTAAAAGTAGCTTATTACGAAATCGGCTTTCCAGTCATTATTATGTTTGGTGCTACATGTTTTTTTGGAAATATGAAATATATATTGGGCGGTTAGGTTCCGCTTTATTTTTTACTCACCCTGTACCACATTCAGGAATATATTTTCATGGGAATTCGTCCAACAAGAAAGAGATTGATATCAAACAACTGAGTGTTTTAAACGTGAAAAATAAAATCGCATGAAAGCAACGTTACATGGCAAAAAAAAGTTGCGTTACTTTTTGAGCAATGATCTAAGAAATTGCAAAGAATTTCCTTTGTTTCACTCTTTTTTTTTACAAGGGCATTTTCCCAAACACTTTTAGCAACTACACTTTTCTGTATTTTTTTTCATACGGAGACAATGCACCAAATGCTTTAATAACACGTACAAAATCCATCTAAAGTGAAATCACACCTATATCATATAACTAAAACTTAGCTATTTGTTTTATTGAATCAATATTTTTTCTAGAGGTTTAGCAGGACTGGCAACACAAACCTTTAAAATATTGAAACAAAATATAGAGATTATCGGCGTCAATATAATTTTTAGTAACACCAACAAAACTGCCAAATTGAAGTCATCACGGTGTCGAGAAAATCGGCCTCAGAAACAATAACATTCTTGGGTAAGAGTCTTATCAGGAATAGGCATGGGCTCATTGTGATGGCTCATCCGACCCCTAGATGCTTGAACATCAAATAACGTTTTGTTTTATTCACCATGCTCCAGGCCACTGCGTGTGTCTGTCATCACGCAAGGAGCCAGGTGCGAGTAAGCTGGGGGAAGTAAATCGAACGCACTCAAGATGTTTGGTGGCTGTGATGAGGTCGTTCATTCTTAGTTCCGCATGACCCTGAGGTCACTCTCATCTCATGATCATGGATGGTTCCAATTCTGATTGACTTAGGGGTCAATTTCGCATCATCATGATTATCTGCAACATGGGCGTCGCGAGGAGGGGGGGGGCAAGGGGGGCGCTTGCCCCCCCTCCCCCGGAAAAGCCACACACAAAACAAAAAAAAGAGAAAAAAAGAAAAGAGAAAGAGGCGCGAAGTCATAATGGTGCAAATTTAATGAGTTGGGGGGGGGGAGCAAAATGTCCCTGCCCCCGTCTAAAACTGAGAAATCAAGAATTTGTTCAGAAATACAAGAATTTTTTGGGAAAAATATGTTTTGCCCCCCTCTAGAAAAAATCCTGGCGACGCCCATGATCTGCAATGAGCCCATCATGTTCGATGGCTGTGATGTGTTCGTTCATTCTTAGTTCTAAATGACCCTGAGGTCACTCTCATCTCATGCATGATCATGAATGGTTCCAGTTCTGATTGACCTAGGGGTCAATTTCGCATCATCATGATTATCTGCAATGAGCCCATCATGTTCGATGGCCGTGATGAGGTCGTTCATTCTTAGTTCTGAATGACCCCGAGGTCACTCTCATCTCATGCATGATCATGAATGGTTCCAGTTCTGATTGACCTAGGGGTCAATTTCGCATCATCATGATTATCTGCAATGAGCCCATCATGTTCGATGGCCGTGATGAGGTCGTTCATTCTTAGTTCTGAATGACCCCGAGGTCACTCTCATCTCATGCATGATCATGAATGGTTCCAGTTCTGATTGACCTAGGGGTCAATTTCGCATCATCATGATTATCTGTATTGAGCCCATCATGTTTGGTGGCTGTGATGAGGTCATTCATTCTTAGTTCTGAATGACCCTGAGGTCACTCTTATCTCAAGATCGTGTATGGTGCCAGTTCTGATTGACCTAGGGGTCAATTTCGCATCATCATGATTATCTGTATTGAGCCCATCATGTTTGGTGGCTGTGATGAGGTCGTTCATTCTTAGTTCCGCATGACCCTGAAATCACTCTCATCTCAAGATCGTGTATGGTGCCAGTTCTGAATGACCTAGGGGTCACATTGGCATGATTGCGATTATCTGCACTGAACCCATCATGTTTGCCGGCTGTGATGAGGTTGTTCATCTTCCGGTTCTGAATGACCAGGTGTCAGAGTTTGGGTCATGCGATCATTTGAGACTTGTTGTTCCTGGCAAACTTCCATGGCGCAACTAAGCAGGACCGCCAAAACATGCTTACACTGAGAAAAAGGGTGGAGACAACAAGGAAATGATATAAGGAATAGGTAGAAAACTTTGTGAATAATCTAATGACTGACATGGCAAATTTGTCAAATATCAGCTACTCAGCTGACTCAAAAAAATATTTGATACATACAAAGTCGAACACCTTTACAACAAGGTCCTTGGGACTTACCTTACAAACTTACAAATTACCTTGTTATAACAGGTACCTTGTATTAACAGTAATGAAAAACAAAGAAAAACAAAGATTTTGGGACCTAACATTTTGCTTGTTATAATAAGCAGGGTGTTGTATTAACTCTCCTGCTATCTAAACAGTCACAGACAGTCAAAAAAGCAATCCTCTAGCCTGCCATGCCTTTTATATTATGCAGGCTAGTCACCAACAGTCAGATCATATTTCAAGCAAGCACTGTGACTAGTCAAATTCAGTCCACATACAAAAGCAGGCAATTGGTAGACACCGCTGGCTTATCAATCACATACAGTGAAAGCATAGCTGTATAAAGTAACATAAACAGTCACAGAAAGTCAGTCCTGCTTTATGTATACAGCTGGGAGCTCTTAACTTTTGAAAACAGTCACTTGAATGATTCTGACTGAGAGGACCACTTGGCACAGAATGTATGTTTGCATAGGAGAGTTAACAGTGCTCTTCTTGTCAGGGCTTGAATGTATGATATTCATAACAAGTTTCTACCTCAAAGTCAATGGATGAATATTCGAATATTTGATCAAATCCTAGTTCCAATAATCGAATATTACATTATTCGAAAGGCCAGCACTAATCCAGTTTACACTCATATAGGAGCACAATGGATTCCAGCTATTTTTCAAATTTTCAGTTTAAGATTTTAAAGAGCAGAGGCTCCTACTGGAACGTTTCACGCATTCCGAATTGGAGACTCTACCTTAAAACTTTCCTTGACGTAAAAATAAGTACCTACCAGATCAACATCATTCCTCTTCAGAACTATGAAAAAAAAATATGCAGACAAACAATATTACTTTAGAAATTTTGGGAAAACTGTCACTGACTAAATTATTTGTTTCGCAGTCTTCAACAAAAGAACCTAAAATTCCTTTTTGGACACCTCAAATGGGCGTCAATCGGTGGGGGACAGGGGGACAAGTCCCCCCCCCCCACACTTTTTAAAGTCGGGGATATTATATCGTTAGTCCCCCTCCCCCAACTTTTTTGTCCCTCTCCAAATGATGATGATTCTACAGCTCAGAATAGCTGATTCAATTACTCAAAAATGTTCAAATGATGATCTTTTGCTCAAAAGAAATGGTTAAAGTGGTCAGAAATGGCCTCAAATCGCACCACAGAGCATCTAGAATACAATTTTTTTCAGCCCCAAGACCACGCCATTAGGACTTCGCACATGCATTAGGCCCCCACCCCACTTTTGAAAAGGGATTGTGACGCCCTTGACACTTCAATACAGGTTACAGACTTGAGTCAAAAATACCTTCTTGTAGGTTCCTGGCTTAAAATCTCACCTGTGAATGAGTAGTACTGACAGCTACAGAAGTTGGACGATGGGAGGCAAATGTATGGAATGCCTGAACTGCCAAGAACCTGGTCAAAATAATGACAACATATGTAAAGCTTATACAATGATTTCAATATTGTTCACAATTTTGTTAAACAAGAAGCTTTTGGAGACACGTATATACACTCAACCAAATAAGAAAGTCCCCCCTTAATCCTTTTTTGTCTAACTCAAAAACTACTGGGCACATCTTGCTCAAATTACAACTGATCAGTACAGAAATTCCTTAGCAATCCAGCCATACTCTTTGTTTGGCCCAAAACGGTAATAATGTGTACAAATTTATGCAATTTATGACAAGAGGTACCGAACAAAAAGTTGCACTTTTGTACCCTTGCAAGGTGAGTTTGAACCGCAACAAGCACGTATACAAAAGTGCATCTGTTTTCGGTATGATTTGTCATAAATTGCATAAATTCGTACACATTATTACCGTTTTGGGCCAAATAAAGAGTATGGCTGGATTGCTTAGGAATTTCTGTAATGATTAGTTGTTATTTGAGCGAGAGGTGCTCAGTAGCTTTTTGAGTTGACAAAAAAGTATTGGAAGGGGGGACTTTCTTTTTTGGCTGAGTGTATTTGACGATAAGCAGGATTTGCCAGGAGGTAAATAAAAAAAAATATGTGTCATGTGAAAGGAAAGGAAACACACCACGGTATCCTAAGATGGGGGAACTTTCTGTATTAATTGGTGACGAGGCTTCGCCTCGCCCACTGATTTTTTCACTTTTGAAGGTCTGTGACTGTTCAGACAGCAGTTTCATTGTTTCATATGCTCTTGCTATCTTTTCTCAAACTGTACAAATCTTACCTGGAAAGCTATGCGACCAGCAGGACATGTTATTTTAGTAACACTCTTGTTGTCTACGAGGTCTAAGGCCTGCAGAAGGGGAGCCTTAAAGACAAAATGCAAACTGGAGAACAGAAAACAATGCACATTATTAACGACACTAACGACACTAAAGCCCTTTTCACACTAGAGCCTCTCAACCCGGGTTGAACTCAACCCTGGGCGAACCTTGTGCTGCCCCAAGTTGATTTTTTTTTATTTTTTAACCCCGCGTTCAACCCTGCATCGTTTCACACTTGTTTCATGCAAATCAAGCTTATCATGCTCAGTTACTACTATTTTGAACCCCAGTGGCAAGAATTTCAACCTGGGTTGAAAATCTCAACCCTGGTCTGGAGCAGGAGTTGAGTTCAACCCGGGGCGAAATCAATCTCGGGGTTGATGCAGGGTTGACGAAGAGGTGACGCAGGGTTGTAATTCTTCAAGTGTGAAACGATGCATGTTTTCAACCCTGCGTCAACCCCAAGATTTGTCTAGTGTGAAAAGGGCTTAACAACTACTAATTAATGACAGAATTAAGCTATTGGTCTTTAAAGAGGTTGTGGAATGCTCAAAGACATTTCCGTCATTTTTTGGGTATATGTAGCCTAAGGTGTGATGAAATAAAAACGACTATTGTGTCTGACATGAAATGAGTACAAAAGGTATACTTTTGAGAGCTTCAGGTCCTGTTTCGACCCGAACATTCAATTTGTGAAAAAGTCGTCGTTGGGGGCAGCAAACAAAACATAGTAAATCGTGACGTAATAAACAGGACTCCCTATGCAGCGTAGTATAAACGAGTCCTGTTTATTACGTCAAGATTTTTCTGATTTTACGAAGAACCCGACGACTGTTGATTTCAATTATGCGCTCGCCGACCAACAAATTACTCGATGAATTTCAGTTTTATAAACATACATTTATAAATGCACATTACAAAAGAATGGGAGTTTGTCATTATGATATGGGTCTACTCTACAATAAAAAAAATATAAAAAACAAAACGACTTTCAGCATTCCACAACCTCTTTAATTGATCTAAGGTCTTGTGCTCAAGGGTGCATGTGGGGAGTGTGGCCCAGTGGTTAGGGTTCGTGACTCGGAGGATCAGGGGTTCAATTACAGGTGTGGTCATATGTTGTGTCCTTGGGCAAGCCACTTCACCCCCACTTGCCTCTCTCCACCCAGGAGTATAAATGGGTACCGGCATTGGGGAGTAACCTGCGATGGACAGCATCCCATCCAGAGAGAGTAGAAATATTCTCAGTCATTTCATGCCACTGAAACCGGAGATAAACACGTACAGGCCTGATGGGCAACATTAGCTCATGACAGACTTTTTTTTCATTTTTACCTAGGAACAAATATTTAAACCAAGTCCAAACAATACTAGGTATGGGTACCATAAGGCCAAAAAAAAAAGTCTCCGGTTTCTGGTATGCGCGCGAGTCGCCATAGCCATGTGCTTGGGAAAAAGGAAAAAAAAAATTTTCAAAAAAAGATGATGTCTCAAAACCGCCAAACTCACTGGTTTGACTGGAATCCTGCTGCTGCACAGTTTTAACGTGTTTTTAGATTGGGTTATGATCGAGAATAAGCTTTATGTGGCCTCTCTGGACTCCCATATATTTGCACTAAGTTTAGTCGGGCACCATTTGCAGTCATCAGCCGACATTTGAAGCAAAAAAACAGGTAAAAAAAAAAAAAAGCCGCGTCGCCGCACCACTTTTTGGGCAAGCTCCATACCAGAAACCGGAGACTTTTTTTTTTGGCCTAAGTATAAGTAAACACAAATCACTTTGAACTTTTCATACACTGACACAGGTTGGCAGTGGCATAGAGATACAGTAAAAACATTTCAAATGAAACACTTTAAAAAAAATCAAATACTCACGCTGACAAAAGATCCTCTGGTACTGCAAGAATCAAAAGAAAAAGAAAATAACGTAAAAAAGCTTTGAAAATGGTGATGGTTTATGAGAGTATTCCCTTGAAGACATTCACTGGTTATCGGGTTCGGTCAATCCAAGAAATTGAATCGATTTGACCAGCACGTGATAAATGTACCTAAATTCAAATATAAACGTTGTAGAGTTTCTGCACAGCTTTACAAATAACTTTTAATCGTTGTCATCTTAAAAGAATTTAATGGCACAATTGTTCTGTGAATATGCATATTTAGGGTACGGAACATTCCCAATCGTCAAAAAGAGAAAATTGCATCAGCATTTTTACACGTGTGTGTTTCATTATGCATTTACATGTATGCCATGATTGTCTCAACAAGGCACAATTGTTTTTTTCTGGGAATTTTTGCCACCCAAAAAGTATTAGTTTAATTGTACTTTTGGTTGACATCTTCTTTACTAGCCCAATAAATGTGGCTCAAAATAGCTACGTGTGGGAAAAGTTGATTTGAAGGAAATAAAAATTGGGACTGTTTTTTTCACTTGATATTCGACGTGGAAGATACTTATCTGGTTAATAACAAGACAAAGTCAAAAGGTCAATTGTACACGACCTGTGACCCTGAGAAAATTACTGCTGAACGAACTCACTGCAAATTTTGCCTGAATATTACAGGATAACTGGACACAGGCTACTACAGGAACAGAACTCAAGTTTTCCTGGCTATTAACCTACATGTAAGTATATCTTCCATTGTGAATATCAAGTGAAGAAAACAAAACAGTCTCGATTTTGATTTCCTCAAAATCAACTTTTTCCCCACACCTACCCAGCATTTGAGCCACATTATGGTGCTACTTCCTTACATGCATGGCTTGTCTGGTAGGCAGTTTTGACATGCTTCAGCAACTCTGTCTGTGTTCTGTCAAGAAGGGCAGATGCCATTGCAAGTATCTATATGAAAAAAAATTACAAAGTGTTAGAAACAACTCAAATTTTGATGATTTAGTGTATTTGGTGGGCGATATTTGTTGATCTGTGCAATCAGTTGATCGCGTTGCACCGTTGCTCGATGGGTCAATTCTGTTGGATATCTTGGACATTACTTAATACCTTTAAAAAAAATGCTCCAGAGCTGAGAATTAGAATGAAAAGGTGTTCGACTGGTGGCAGTTCGTTCGACCGATACCGTCATGATGATCGACACAGATAGTGCAACGAGATCGCGCCAATCGGCCGATTGCGCTCAACATATTCACGAAAGAACGGTCAAATTTTGAATGAAGGTAAAATCTCATCTTGGTGGTGGAAGGTACTTTGAATAATTAATACATTTTCAATTACAGATCTAACACAAAACTGGAAGAATGTTTCAATCATGTCAACAATTGAATGGTGACCAGTTGTTAAGAGTTAGTTTCATGAAAACTATATTAAGGCGTGACTTTTTGTTAGAAAATACTGGCGATCGTGTAGTGACACGTAGTGTAGGGCCCCTGTTTAGTTTCAGTCAAATTAGAGTCAAGTGTATTTTTTCTATTCACTGTACATCATACGGTGATCATCATCTTTATTTTCATGTTGCATTTTGTCCTTGTCATCGTCATTTCACCCCCATATTTCCCTCAAATATTCAAAACTCTGCCCTACATGCCCTATGTCATGATGTCGCCAATTTGAACTAGGGCCTAGGCCTAGTTTGGTAGGCAAAAATATTTTTGGATAATTGTTCAAGGGAACCGGGCCCGTACTCGTAGACAAACGATCGGCAAAAAAACTTTCGCAAACCCCACTGAAATCTTTGCATGACCAACCAAGTGGCAGAATACTGTTCTTACTGCAACTACATGTAGTGCTACATTACATTATTTCTCTCACGAAATAGGTGCAATACATTTTAAAAGTTGAACTTCGAGTTCGAACTTCTCCCGAGTCGCAAGTCCGGTCGGAACATACGAATATTTTCACAAAATGTTTGTTTTACATTGATCTTCATAACTAGAAAATCACAGGACACTGTGAATTCACGGTTGCTCAGTGCTTACCAAGTTTCTTGATTCTCCGGAAAGTTTGGAAGTCCAGTACCGTAGCAGACGATTTTGACACATGCATCATTGCATGACTCGACATCGACAAGTGGGGGCGCTTTAACTTTTCCGGCAGGCTATAGCGCTAGATCAGAAACTTCGAACCAATCAACGCACGGCAGAGTCGAGATGGACCAATCCTTGCCCTCCCTTTGTTTATTCAATTCAGTATTCAATACCTACCAAATTAATTGTGTCAAGGGCTAATTTATGTTACTAAGTGGGGGAGGGTTGGTAAGAAAAAAAAACCCAAAGTACCCAAAGCATGATAGAATTTGAAGGGAAAAGTTGTGCTCTGCCAAGCTTCAAAGTCTCACAAAAATCAAGGTCATTACAAACTGCAATGTTTTGAAAGGGGTTTTATATATTTAATTTCCATTTTCTTGAATCTACAGTCCATTTCAAAACTGTACAGCTATTCCCTTCCCACACATAAAATTACTGGTTTGGGATTAAACTTGGCATCAATCATACAATCTTACGAAGCAAATTGCACATGGAAAATAAGTTTGAAGTTTTTACAAAATTCCACATATGGTTAAAGATTTTAACTATTTTTATGAAGTTTTTCATAAGTCAGATTACAATTAACGGAGGGATGAACATTGAGAAAGAAGTGCCTGCTACGGTTTATATGAATGGCTTGACACTTGAAAAGAGATGTCAATTGAGTTGGACTTGTTATAACTTTAGTTTAAACAGAGAACTTTGCCTTCTCCAAGTGAATTTGGCAAACAAGTTTCATTTAATGTCTATCCCACATTTTGGTAAGTGGTTCAAAACCAATGTGGACCATAACAAATTTTGGAAAGAAATGTTGCAACCTGACGCCACTTTACTTTTCATATATCATCTCAATGAAGGTCAGTCATTGCATAAATGATGATAAGACATGAATCTGGGACTGAGAAACATTTCCAATTTTGTTAGGAAATACTTGGAAAATTTTCTTGACTCTCCATAGACTTTGTATACAACCGCTGAAGTGGCGTCAGGTTGCAACATTTTTCCCCAAATTTTACCAACTTTTCCAGCAAAAATGAAGTTGACTAGTACGGTGTAATAAAACCCTCAATTATTAGTTCAAATAGTACAATTTTATAGATGGAAAAACAGTTAATTTTTATGATTCTACCAAAAAGCCAGATTTTACAAGCAACCTGTGTATTAACAGAGAACATGTTGCTTGGAATTTCATGAAGCAAGAAATCTACGCAGATTTGTTTTGTAACATTGTGTTTTATTGTCTGTAATTGGTTTAATGGTAATCCAGCTTTGTTTCCTTCGGTCAAAAATCATACAATGATGTCTTAAGGCCAATATTTATACGAGTTTCAGGTTACACTCTTAGCAAATTCATTCAACTTGAGATTTTGAATTTGACAATTGAAAACATCATCGTTACTTTGTTGACGCTAGGAACCAACAATTTAAAATCAATGCCTGGCTAGGCCCACATGACAAAACAATCTTACATTAACACAGTGGCAAGACAAAACTATTTTTAAGCAACACATTTTTTTGTTAACCGGACATTCATTTTGGAAATTGAAGGACTGCAATATATATTACACAATAGTATTCAAATGAATAGAATCTTGCAAACAATATTTGGCATTTCAAGCTAAGAATTGTGTATTCATAAATTTAAAATAATACAGCAATGAAAATTGATGGGACAAATGTTATATTCTACACATCACGTATTGTGTTACGTGACCTTTCTCAAAAGTATCAATAAAATGTGCAAATTTCTAAGAGTTAAGAGTCATCCATAATTATCAAAATTTTCAAAAGTGCACAAAACGTACTCTTTTTGGCAGACCAAGGATATCCTGGTTTAACATATAACAGTTCACTCATAGCGCCCTGATTAGATATATGGAGTATTAACGTCTCGAAGATAGACGAGACACACGAGACATTTGCCGTAGGCACATTCGTCGCTACAAATGTTGTGGCTGAAAAGGGCTGTATCGCTTATTTTTGACACCGGCGCATAGCACGAAGCTGAATGGGAAATGTAGGGTGCGACGTTCGAAGTTCGCCAAGTTGAGGTATCAAGATCTTCTGAAAGCCCATTACCATGATTACGAAAATTACTGAACCGAAAATATTGGACAACATTTTTACAAAATTTCTAAAGTGTACATGGGTCGTTTAACCCCTCCCCCAGAGTTTGAAAATATTGATAGCTATGGATGCACCCTAAGTATGAACCAACTATGGGCATTATGTAAGATGATCTGACTACGAGGCCAGACGACTGTTATGGTAATATGATTATATGTTTATACACGTGGGGCTTTCGTGTACAAGGAATAAAAGGCGATAATATAGACAGTTGGATACCGTATTTATAGACAAACAGACCCCTTTCAATGGTTAAAACGTCGTGTTAGCTGCATTTCATTATAATTGTATTATGTACAACAGCTAGCACAGTGCTTCTGCCATTAATGGGGGCCTCCTTCAGTGTGAGCCTGTCCATTTTCGAATAATTGATTATTCAATTATTCGAAACTGCACCTGACCGAATATTCGAATATTCTAAACTCGTCGATCAACTTTTACAAACGCCAGATGCCTTCCTCGCTGGTCAAAAAGTTGCATACAAAGCACACCGGTTCAAATTTGCATGTGGCAATGGATATTATGGGCCACTTGAGTATTTCAAGTACTGTATATCTGTCAAGGGACCCAGCTACACGAATGGGGCCAATAAATAGGCATCGACAAAACGTTACCCTCAACAAAAATGGGCATCTGACAATAAAAAACGCAACTTTATGATTAATAGTCGTGTGTGCATGTGCAGACTTGTTGTTCTTTTCGAATATTCAAACCGGCAAAAAGCTATTCGAATATTCGGTTGATGATCGAATATTTGAATATTCCGTATATTCAGGACAGCCCTAACAGTGACCAAGTGCCCAGATGCAAAAATGAAACACATGGGAGTTTGCAATTTCAAATGGATTAAAAAGTACAGAAGTATTAGTTTTACAGTAATAGTTCCCCATTAACCCTCTGTGTGTGGGCCAATGGTTCACACGTCAAGAGTCAGGCACCGTGTAGTGTCTGGCTAAAGACAGTATCATTCAGTTTTTATATGTCCATGTGGGTATGCAAGAAAATATTGCGCACAAACCCTGTCCATTCGGTTTTGTATGCTTCGTCAATGCGGATCAGAACCCACATGCATAAAATGGCACCGGAGGGCCATCAACCATAATTAAATTCATATTTCCACCACAAGGGGGCCATATATGTAGAGAATCTATACAAACCTGCTGAATTTGAAAGACCACACTTTATTTTCCCCCTACTATTTATGGCCACATCTAAATGAACAGGTGTATACAGTATGAGACATATTCAAGGAATTATGTATGAAATCCAGTTCAGTGTAATTCATTGTTAATCAAATTTTGCCCCTCATCTACTGTGTACACAATGTACAAAATATGAGGGTTTGAAAAATTAAAGGAACAAACATGTGGTCAGACAGAGACTGGAGACTCTACTGCTGACCTGGGTCAAAGTTCAAAGGTCGGGTCACATCAGGGACATCCCAGAAGGTCAACCTAATCAGAGAACCACTGCTAGAAAGAGAGAGCTTTGCCAAGATGTGACTGTTTACACCCCACTGATGCTCCATTCGCAGTGATCTCTCCATTCAGTCAAACTCTGATTCCTTCTGCCCGATGCTTTCGTTGTATATATTAAAAGCATGCATCCTGTGACTGGTACCCGACCATGCCTCAGTGCTTTAGGTAGCTATGGATATAGCGGTCCAACTCGCTGTCCAGCCAACCAGCCTTGTTCCTGTTGGAGAAAAAAAAGGGAATGCATTGCAACTTGGACCAACTCAACTGCTTGTCAAACACAAAAAAAATCAATGACCAAAAGAAGTTAAAAGCACACACATGTACTAGCTGTGGGAACAGCAGAAAGTCCCCATAACTCGGTCCTAATTTGCCTAAGAATAAAAATTTCCCCAGAAGGCCGGTTTCTGGTATGCGCGCGCGTCGCCGTTGCCATGCGCGTCGGCAAAATGAAAAAGTTTTTTTTTCAATGAAAGATGATGTCTCAAAACCGCCAAACTCACTGGTTTGACTGGAATCCTGCTGCTGCACAATTTTAACGTGTTTTAATATGTGGTTATGATCGAGAATAAGCTTGATGTGGCCTCTCTGGACTCCCATATATTTGCACTTAGTTTAGTCGGGCACCATTTGCAGTCATCAGCCGACATTTGAAGCAAAAAAAAAACAGGAAAAAAAAAAAAAGAAGCCGCGTCGCCGCACCACTTTTTGGGCAAGCTCCATACCAGAAACCGGAGACTTTTTTTGTTTGGCCTAACGCTGTGACGGCCCGCCCACAGGGTTCCTACAGAAATCTCAAAATGAAATTCCAGGACTATTCCAGGACTTTTCCAGAACAAACTTAGGGCTTCCCGTGACCAATTCCTATGCTGTTTTGACATCTTAAGAGCCAATACACTGGCTCATCACACTGAGGCAAGGGGCGCCACTCCCTTTCAGGCATCAACCTTGACGCAAGAAAACTGAGAACCACAAAGCCATCGCAATGGTGCAATAACCTTGCGCAGCGTTTACAAAATTTTTTTACAACAACTCGTCAACAGAGGGCAGCAGGTACTTTCCCGCACTACGCAAGACCCTATTCATTGCAATACAACAAAAAGCCATGTGCCAGACAGTGTCCAGACAGTGTCCAGACAGTGCCCTGGAAAGATAATTGACTGGCGGCTGTGGTATGCAGTTGTATGCAGTTATGAAGGGAGATGACTGTGTCAAGTTACAGGTCTTTGTTGATGTTTCAATGAGACTTAGCAGGAGGCCTGGTCGAAAGTTTGTTGACACGGCCTGGGTGAAGCCCTGGCTGCAAAGTTCATTGAACCAGCTTATTTGGCAAGGGTCGAATGAGGATTAGATGGAAGGTGACCCTCAATTTTTTTTTTTTTTTTAATTCGGTTACCTGGGGCCCAAAGGGCAACAGGTCACTCTGCGCAGGGATAAACATGCAACAAGTTTAAAGCAAACTGGCAGACTGCCACAGCCAAATATTGCACATCATTACATTCCATGACTTTTCTTATAGGAATATCCACTTTCCATGACTCCTTGTATTAAAAACAACAAATTTAGCCGACTTTTCCCCCGGCTTTCAATGACAGCTTGAAATTTTTGGATTTTCCAGGATTTTTCCATGACTGTTTGAACCCTGATATATGGGCTACTCTTCCATCAAATATACATGATAATGATTCTTCATGTAGAAGGCTCTTTCTACGAACCTAAGGACTTTGGCCCTGGACATCATGCCCTCCAGTTTCTGGCTCTCGTCCTCCATCTTGATCAGCTCTTTCTTCAAGTCGTTGGTGTGGTTGTCCACCTCCAGGCAAAGGCGGGCGAAAGTAGTAGACAGCTCCCTGGGAACGAGAACAGATGAGGGCAAGAGGTCACCAAGGGCCATAGAAATGCTTTTCCAAATGCTTTAATTAAGATAAAGAGTAATTGTATCCGCCTAAAAAGGCACTCATGGCGCTTGAGCAGAAAGTCAAGTTAGGATAGTGTGTTGTAAGAGTAAGGTGAGATTTTATGTTTGTCTTAAATGTTGTGATGGATGGAGATGATTTGATAGCCAGAGGGAGTTGGTTCCACACTCGGTCTGACGCTGCAGCAAAGGATCTGTCACCCCACAGAGTGGAGGTCCTGGGCTCGTGAAGCATCATGAGCTCACTGGAGCGGAGTCCGGTGCGTGTGGTTAAGTACAGGTGGATGAGGTCGATGAGGTCTCTAACAAACTTCCAAAAAATCACCTTAAAGGTATGTAGAATCATTTGCTCTTTATGCCTTTTGTTCGTTTCCTATAATAAAACCACTCAAAATCCAAACAAGAATGTTCATAACCTAACCTGTTAAAGTTTCAGAACAGTGGATATTACACTTTTCGAGAAAACAGTGAAAAATCATGCTCAACATTTTGATCAGGAAACACGATCTTTGTCAGTAGCACTCTTTCTTTCCAAAAATCAGGGCAACTGACTGATCTTTGGAAATCAACAACACTTCTCGATGTCTTCAAAATGCCAGCAACCAAGATTGAATAATGTCATGGGGTTATTAGTACCAGTGGAAATTTAATCGTATGGTGAAAGAACTTGTGACCAATTTGGGCGATTCACAATGCAGTGCGCCACCAAGAGTTTACCATGGAGAGTTCAATTTTCCCAGTGCATTGTGGGAGATGGTCGACAAATTCGCAGCGCAGGACATTTGAAATTGTTCGTTTTTCCGGTCAGAAGTTTTGTAAGCGTATGATTCCAGTATCTGTTTGCCCTTTTCTTTTCTTGTTATCAATGTGGTGTTTTTTTGTACGGTCAGAAAGTATATGCCCCAATTCATAACGAATTAGCTCAAGTTGTCTACTGACACTCATTCAAATGGGCCTTGTTTTGTCGACCGTAAACTTTGAAAATGGACTCTCCATGGCAAACTCTTGGTGGCGCACTGCATTGTGAATCGCCCGAATTTTCAAACGAATATTTTCAAGTGCGAAAAAATGTATAGCAGCAATGGTACTCAAGGGTCCTTTCATTTTTTACAGCCAAAGTTATGCACAGGTTTATATTGTGATACAAGTTTCACTCCTACTTACTGCTGTATCTGGTGGCTGAGGTTGGAGCCGGTGAAGTTGACCAGCAGTTTCAGCTTCTCAGACGCGTACTGCACGAACTGCTGCTTGAAAGTCCTCTCCTTGGCCTTGTTGGTCCAGGTCAGTCGCTCGTAGACGTACAGGAGGGAGTAGAGACCGCCCCCTACTGCCAAGACTCGCCAACCCACGGCCTTCCAGACCTTGGTAGGGAGGACACAACAGGCTTAGAATCAAACTTTAAAAACATGGTGGCACTGTCTCTGTACACTCTTCTGATCTGCAACTGGAATTGCTTTATTATGTTTCTTTCCTAAATATTATAAGATGGAATTTTGCGTTGGGGTGAGATAAATGAAATTTTGTCCTTCACTGACGTTTAAGCACTGTATACTCTGTGTGTTACCTCCCGAGTGAAAGTTGGAAAAAATCACTTTAGCTCGGTGGCCGAGTCGTAAGATATCTGCACTAGAAAGCAGGAGGTTGTGGGTTCGAGTCCCACCCGAGTGATCTTTTCCAACTTTCACTCGGGAGGTAACACACTGAGTATCCAGTGTTTAAACGTCGGTGAAGGGCAAAACCTAATTTGGTTAATAGATTTATTAAAAAGAGAATGAAATAAACCTTGAACTGTGCTATCAGGCACCTTTGTGAGACTTTCACTATTTGAGATATTAAGACTTTTTTTTCTAAAAGTGTGAATTTTTTCGGAAAATAAGCTTTGAAAAATTATGTAAAACCTTATTTTCGAACCAAATTTTAAGTTAAATTTGTGAATGTACGCACAAATGATCTATTTAACAACCCAACTATTATAGAGTTTGTAAAATGTAAACTTGTATACCCGCACAGGTTTTGCGGTAATTGGAACGGATGACGGAAAAACATGCAACGAGCGAGGCCAAAAATATCTGTCAGCGACCCGCTCGCAGCAAGCGAGGCCAGAAATATGAGTGTGCTGCCCGAGGGTGATGGCTTCAACCCGCCTGGCTTGAGGTCGAGTGAAAAGTAATCCCGCGCCTCGTTTCGTTCTTGTCACAAAAATGCCGGCGTGAACTGGTTTTGTTGGTCAGAGCTAACACTTAAATGGAAATGTGCTCTGTTTAGGCAAAATCTCTAAAAATAAAAATTGTTCTTTCGGTATAACTTGGTCAACAAATTAGGAAAACACTCACAATGCCGATAACAATCATCAGCCCCATGGATGTGCGAGACGTCAGCGATGCCAATCCCGTTACCATGGCAACCGTCATGTCCTCCTGGCTTCGGGACCCACTTTCTACTCCAACAGATGCTAAGGGACGAGGAATCTACAACAATGATAATTATATAAAGAAAATAAAAAGAACACTAAATTGCAGAGCAGTGAGTCTGTTTTCTTTTGCTGTTAGAGTTTCTCTTGTAATTTTTCTTTTCAGTATTTAAAGCGCCATGCAATGCAATTTTTTAATGCAATCCTTGAAAATGCACCTTAGTTGTCTTAAGTTTACATATTCGCAAGCAAAAGTGTGATGTCATTTCAGGCAGAAATCTAAATGTTATAGCTATTTCAGCAGCAAAAGTTGCAAAATTTTGGATACAATTTTCTATTCTTTGATTTGTTGTTTCAGTACAGGACAGTGAGCCAATGAGCAAACATTCTCACAAAAGTTTTCCGTGAGCAAACATTTTAGGGCACAATTTGTACAGAAAACCCCTAAACTGAACAGTGTCTCCCTGAAATGACATCACAACAGCGCCCTCAGTTGTCTGGAAAAGCATGGAAAAATAACAATGTTATTCCCTGTTTTTAACGCAGCGGGTAACAAAAGAATTTTACTTACCACATTGGCAAAGCCAGCCATGGCCACCCTCGTGTTCTTGGGTCCCAGGAAACGATTCATGAGTGACGTGAAGCCCAGGGAGAACCGAAACTCCACGTTCTCGGAGAAGTCGGCAAAGAGGTGCTGGCACTCCAGCCGGTAGCTGGGGCCAAAGTCCCGCCGGAAGAGCAGACGACTGAACTGGTCCTTGGCTTCGTCAGGGAGGAGGGCCGACATGTGCTCTAGAATTAAAAAAAAAAAAAAATGGGAATTTTGTCTTCATCTCTGGCTTCTGCCTCATCTTTTGTGACTGAATCATTAAAGCTATAGTCCATCATTTGCAGCCATCCGAAAAGGTAACTGGCGTATTATTGTTGAACAACATAATTGGTTGAAGGATAGTAAGTGGACTAAACTCCCTGTGAAATTAATCTTTCTGGCAAGCTATCATTTTGAAGTTATCAACAAAAGAAGGCCTTTCCAACGGTGCGTCTTAAGACGCACTGTAGGAAAATTTAAATTAGTAGTTCGTTTTGTTATTCGGTGCAGCGCGCGCAAGCATTGGAACGACGCACAGGCGCGCGCGGTTGCTATAATTTGTCGGATCAGTTCGCAACATCACGTATAGCTGCAATTCAGAACATGATTCAGCAACTTTTGATTTGAAATTGAGATCTTGGAATGCTGTTTTTCTCGGAATATACAGCTGAAGCTGAGCTGAGATTCATTAGATTTTGAACACTTTTGTTGCTTCAAACGAACAAAATGCACAAATTACAAATGATGGACTATATCTTTAAGAAGCTTTTTAAGTTGCATACCCTGTGCTATTTTCGAGGTTTTATCCCACAAACTACTTTTCTTAATTGCGATTTGTTTTTTTTCTGCAATTCAAAAGTTATTGAATTATTACTTTACCAATTTCGAATTATTGGCTGCCAGACAATAATTTCCATTCTCGCAGGGGTAGGCTGGTCCCTGCCTCTTAATCAGTATGGATAATGTAAGAATCGGTAGCCAGTCTGCTCCTGGATTTGTTTGTGCCTAAAATTATATTTTTTCAGAGGGTTGCAGACGTCCAAAAAAAAGGGGAAAAAGGAGGGTTTTTTTTGTTAGAATAAAACTTACTAGCTGAAAATATATTAATAGATAAAAAATTGACTTTGTTGAAGAGCACGGGAAACTTGAATGTTTAAACCAGGCTGGAATATTTAAATGTTGGAATCATTATGGAATTTGATGTCTCTGAAGTAGAATGCGGACCCACATTTTGCTACATTATAGAGCTCCATGAAATTGGGTCAAGGTTAGTGTTGTACAAACCCGACCTGACCCGAAACCGAAACTGAAGGTCGGTTTGTCCACCATTTCAATCGGGTCGGGTAGGTTTCGGTATTTCGTTTGCAATTTTTGGGTCGGGTCGGGTCGGTTATGCCATTTGGGAAAAATCCAAAATATACCCCCCACCCAAAAAAAAACACCCGAAACAGTTCGGACATTCAGGTCACTGTGCCCGGTACAACAAAATGTGGTTTGCAAGTTATCACACGGTCTATAACATGCAGGCCCACCAATAAGTCACATTGTGAGTGCCGTACAATATGATTCAGTTTAGGACTACAATTTTTGCGCGACGCCGGTAAGTTAAGGCACAAAAAGCTGACATAGTTGCCCAAGCAAGATATTTGGTTTTCTTCGGGTCGGTTCGGTTTCAGGTTGATTCGTATTGGTTTTCCTTGAATTTTTGTTGGGTCAGTTAGTGTCGGTATTAGGGAGTTCAGATCGGTTTTGGTTCGGATTGGGTGTATATCTACAATGTTTCGGGTCGGTTTGGCCTGGTCAACACGACACGATGCACAACACCAGTCTAGGTGATTACAAACTTTATAATCACTTAGCAGTCTGGTGCTGGCTGCCAAGCAGAAAATCTGTGCCACGCAAAAGTGAGCTTGGAACACATCACAAGAAGACAAGCATGTACACTGAATGATATTCTGCTGAGTAAATTTACGCCCTGCAAAAGGAAACACCAGCTGAGAACCGTTCACAAGCAAATGTCATGGAGTGTCATGGCCTAGCGTTTAAGAACACCGGACTCATGTTCTGGTGTTTCAGAGGCAACAGTGACGTGGGTTCGAGCCCGGGCGCGGACACTTGTGCCCTTAAGCAAGACACTTAACCATTATTGCTTCGTCCTTCGGATGGGACGTGAAGCCGTAGGTCCCGTGTGTTGTATAATGTCTAATGCACGTTAAAGAACCCAGTACACTTATCGCTAAGTGAAGGGGTTCGCCCCGGTGTTTCTGGCAGTGCGATTATCTTCAGCCATGAAGTCTGCACTTGTAAAGAAGAAGAAGAAGAAGAAGAAGCAAATACACATTGTATGTGGTTTGAGATGTGCCCACCTGTCATCTGTTCTTGCACCTGTTGTACGTCCTGCATGACAGCTGACGTACACCTGGCATCCAGGTTGCGACCGAGGCCAGCCTCAAGATGCTTCTGCAACTCCTGTTAATAATAATAATAATAAACCCTGAGTCTTATATAACATATCTACCAACAATTAGGTACTCAATGTGCTGGAAATTATGCTTATTATTAAAAACAGGTAAATGAAGTTTATGAGAAATATGAGACCCATTATGTAGCACCTTACAAGGGTTTGCAAAGGTGCTGCGACGCATATTGTAGCCACTGCCAGAAACACCGGGGCAAACCCCTTCTCTTTAGCGATAAGTGTTACTGGGTTCTTTAACATGCATTACACAACACAAGGGACCTACAGCTTTACGTCCCATCCGAAGGACGAAGCAATAATGGTTAAGTGCCTTGCTCAAGAGCACAAGCACCGTGTTCCCACGGTCAGGATTCGAACCCATGTACCACGGCACACGAGTCAAACACCGTAACCATTGGACCACAGTACCCCACTGAATCCTGTTGAAGAAAATCAAACTTGCTCACCAATTGAGAACGGCAACTTTATGTTTAAACTATGATGTTCAGCCTGTACAAAGTTCTTTAAGTTCCCAAATTCCGTTGGTTGACTTTTAAATTTAAATAACCGAGAGGAAAATACCAGCCACTTGCCTCTTTGTAGACCTTGATGACGAGCGGGTCTGACTGGAAGGTCCGGTCAAACTGATCCACCAGTAACGACAACTTTCTGATCTCATCTGTCATGGCAGCCGACACCTGTGAAACCGTCAGAGAAAACATCCAACGATAAAGAGGCTCCTAGGGTACTGCAGACCTTTGCTTTGGGCACAAAGAACCACGCTGTAACTCATATTTTCATTCTGTTAAGGAGAATACTCGAGATACTGTGGATTCGTAATTTAAGAATTCGTAAATTAAGAATCCACACTTGCGAGTGTATTCTCCGACTTAAACCATTGCGTCAAAAGAAGTATTGTCATTAACAGTCCAGTGAGTGGAGATGAAAAGACTTGCATATCTCGTGTTGAGTCGAGGCCATTAAGGTAATTTACAAGGGAGTTTTTCGAGGCTCTTATACGTAATCAAGCAATGTGGCGTGCTTAGCATTTGTATCGCCACAACCGTACAACCAAGTCATTTTGTGTGTAGGCTCCTTACGTTCATACGACGATTTTCTTTCTGACTCAAAGTGGTTTTTGCAGTGACGGCGGAGAATCTGACCGTGAAAATGCATTGGTAATTACAGAAGGTAAGTTTTCATGCAGACGGTGCTATTAATGCTCATTATGGAGAACAATTGTCCGACGTGTTCAAAGTGTGGATTCGTAATTCCGAATCCACACTTTACTAAAGATTCGTCGTTCCAAATCCACACTTTTAACAATAGTGTGACGTCATAGCAATGGTTTAATGAGTGACTTCAGTCATAGCCAATTCAATTTCAATCCTCAAATAAAATCACAAGCTATTTAAATGATTGCAGGGACAATCATTTGTCATAGTTAATACTCCTTTAGTTAATACTTCATTGTGGTTCAACTTGTGATTCTTAATATCATATGCATTTTTTGTGACCTAATGTATGATGGACTTGCTATTTCACTTGATGGATTTGAATATAAGTTGTGTACTTTGCTCACTGTGCAATGTTGTATACCCAATGAAGCAAATTTCCATTAACCCCAATTGCCCTGAATCTTTCAAAATCCTCTTTGTCAAATGGAGGAATTTGGAGGATTGAAGTTAAATGGCAAAAGTGTGTTACTGATTTCGTAGGATGCGCTTTGTCAAGGTTTTGGGCCGGACCTTGTGTTGTTTTTGCTCAGCCATGCATAAATATAGGCCTGGATTATGCTTGAAATCCTCTGTACTGCTCCAGGATGTCACTGGCTCTGCCTCAACATATTGACAGTCACTGCCGCAGGATTTTGCAGGATTCAGGCAGTGGTCACCCCTCAACGGACCATATTCCAGAAATAATGGAGGAATTTGCAGGGTGGAGGCTATGTATGCTATTTTTTCCATGAGGCCAATTTGAGGATTTTGCAGGATTGAGGCTACATCCTAGCAAAAAGGCCTAGGGAGTTAGGGTTAAACACACAATACATGGACTTGTATTTTCTTTTTTTCTTGTGGAAAGTTATGTACCTGACCTTTTTGACTGTTTGATTTTTCATGTGTTGCAGAAAAACCGATTGTTGAAAATGCTGGCTGTCTGCAGAGCTGCGACAGACATTTCAGTTCTAGCAACTTCTGGCTGCTTTTGTCACATAAGGATTAATTCTGAACCCATTAAGAAAATATCCTTGATAATATCTTACCTTGGTCTCTGCTTGTTCAGCGATGTCTTTAATCTTCTCTTTGCATTCGCCCGTTAGTATCTTCAGCTGGGAGGTGACGTATTGCAGACGGTCAGTTTGCTCCTTGCGTTTCTCTATACACGTTGCCCTACACAGCAATAGAATGCATGCACGCTGCGTAAGTTGTCAGAAAACTTTGAAAGATAAATACTTTTTTTTGCGAGACCAAACTGAAGGTGGTGAAAACATGCAGTACATGCAGTACAAGAAAATTAACTGGGAAATAAAAAAAATCAGTCTAATACTTCCATAGTGCTTAACAAGATATGTATGTCAAAACAAATCTGGTACCATGCCTCTGTGTATATTCCTTCCACAAGTGATGCTGCCAGACTACTGAATCTAGGGTGGTCAAAAAAAACCCCAAAAACCGGAACGGAACCTCATACTTCTACTACCTTGAGACTCAAACCACCTGTACCAACGGATGGAGAATCCTTTTAGAAGAATTATGATGCCAAAATCTCCCGATCGCTGCAGTAGTTTTTGCTGCAGAGCCTATTTTGTGAAGCACACTTCTTTCATGTGGGTATAACTACATAACAATCCCTCTATCAATTACAATGGAAGTAAATTCCCGGGCGCGGTTTAGTAATTCATCGATACAAAAATGACCCCACCTTGCTTCACAAAATAGGCTCTAGAACAAAACCAACTGGACCGAATCGGGCGATCTTGGTTTCATTTCTCTTCTAAAAAGATTCTCCATGCATTGGTATATGTGGTTTGAGTCTCGGGGTAGTGGAAGTATGCCAATCCAGGTTTTTTTTTTACCACACTGTATAGTCTATCCTTGCAAAAAAACAATTGACACCGGCCAGTTTAGCCATGTGCTTCAAATTCAATCACTCGTTTTTATTACTCGTCCAAAGAGGTTGGAGTAAACTCTAATTCGCAATTTAAGTTGAGCTTTACACATTTGCTGGTGAAACAATTGAGTACAAAAAAAAGTCTGTCATGAGCCAATGTGGCCCATCAGGCCGGCGTTTATCGCCGGTTTCAGTATTTTCCAGTGAATGTGTCTTATCATTTTATTCATGTACATGTAAATTATGTTCATGTTGTCGTAATATTTTGCAGGATTTTGTTTTATCTTTTAATGCATATAAGTTATTAATTTAACACGCTGTTATCTTTTGTATTGCTTTTTATTACTTTTTATATTTGCTTTAACAATTAACAGTAATTTATGTTTATATTTTAATAACTGTATTTTTTTTTTTTTTTTTTTAATATTACGTAATTAATTTGTTTATAGTTTTAATTTTTAATTTTGTACAGGGCCCTCAAGGAAAGCAGTTTTTTAACTGAGGAGGCCACCCTGTTTAAATAAGAATGCAAATAAATAAATAAATAAATAATAGTCCATCGCAGGTTACTCCCCAGCTAATGCCGGTACTCATTTATACTCCTGGGTGGAGAGAGGCAAGTGGGGGTGAAGTGGCTTGCCCAAAGACACAACATATAACCAGCGGCTGGATTCGAACCCCTGACCCTCTGATCACGAGTGAAGAACCTTAACCACTTGGCCACACTCTCCCCCCTGAAACAATAGAAGTACCTGTTAAACGTTACCTTTTCTTTGAGGACTGTTGCAGTGCTTCATCCAAGATGTCCTGTGTGCAGGATGCTATCTGTTTGCCCTGCTTGGCGTGCTGCTCAAACTTGGTCACCACGGCCGAGTGTGATATGCATTCCTAAATTGTCAAAGCAAAAAGACTGCTATGAAGAAAGTTGGCTACTCCACCCCAAAATTCAACGAAATTGAAGTAGTGACTAAATTTCAATAGTAATCAACTCTACATGCATAGTTTGCTTCAGTTCCTCAACATTCAGTTCCAGACACTTCGAAACAATATTTTATGGTAAACGAACGGATTTCAGAGAAGGATAACATCTCTTAACCTTAACTGATGCTTTAAAATCGACCACAAAGTTTTGATGGATTTGGCAGGATTGAGGAAGGTATAGCCTGGCCACCATTACTTAAAATGGGTCAAGATGCCCTTTTAAAGTTGGAATTATAAAGTTTCTTATACAGTAGTAGATTTGTGGTGGATTCAGAGAGTTCCTTACGAAATGGGATTTAGAGTTTATAAGAACTTGGCGTTAGCGGTCTGGAGTTATGTCCTGATTAATGTCTTAGAAGTTTTCAAATGTTTTAGTCAGTGTTGGAAGTCTCGAGGCCGGCCTCGGCCTCGAGGCCGGCCTCGAGGCCGATTTTCATGGCCTTGGCCTCGGCCTTGGCCTCGGAGGTGCAAGGCCTCGGCCTTGGCCTTGGCCTCGGAGCCTTCCTGCCTCGGCGAATCGGTCGAGGCCGGCTCGAGGCCGCCCATTTTGATGTGTTTTCTATTCTAATTAATTTTAATTTTTTACCGTATCAAACCCTCGAGATTCTGCCGCAGTGGATTCCGTGAAACGAACGCATATACAATGTACGCACGAATGAACTGGAAATGGTTGCATTGAACGTACTCACGAACGTAGCATCTTCGCCTACCCTGCGCTTCAGCTTTCCAAGTGCGTGCAAGCGTTATAACTGTTACCGCGTGCCAGACTACATAAGTCTGGCACCAATCCCATCTGCGCACAATAACATGTGGTAGTAGACTAGTCTGGTTGCAGTGTTGTACACAATTGTCTCGTTTCGCCTCTGTACCCCGACCTTTAAAAATGATTTGCGGCAAGGTGCAGCAAGCTTAATCATTTCTTTTTATAGGCCACTGTTTCAGTAAAAGTCTGAACTTTCTGGGTACGATCGAGTGTACTAGTCCGTACCATTTTTTTCATAAAGAACAGTTACGATAAAATCCAGTTACAATTTATCAAGTAGATTTTATTTTTACACGGTGATTTAAATGAAAGTTCCGGCTCACACGGTAATGTTTGGCGCAAATGGTCGATATGGAAAGCGCGATTTCAGAATTCGTTTTTCCATCCAAATGAATGCAAAGTTCTGAATGAATGTTTTAATAATAGGGGTCGGTATTCCTCGTGGTACCAGGATACTTTTTTGTATTCTTAGAGCCATGTTGATACTTATTACATGTATAAGCACGGTTTGAAATTGACTAATTTTGCGTGGTTACAGATATACGGCCAAAACCTCTGGACTCCCTACCTCTTGCCATGATCTTAAAATTCTTCGAAGCCATTGGATTCAAATCGCATGATCCGAGAATTCATGGTCATTTTGATGAACTGAGTAATATCATGCACGCATGTTCCGTGTTGCCGTGTTGTTTGGAGCGGGATTGGCCATTGCCAGACTTTGTCTGGTACCGTGATAATGCGTGGACACTTATACCGTTGTGTGGAGCGGGATCGGAACTATGCTTTGCCCGTGCGTAACGGCGGGCCGTCTGGCATTGTCTGGTCGCATCGCGGTGTTTGCTCGGCGCGCGCCTGGACAGTGCGAAGGTCGGGGGGGGGGGTCGTAACCTTTTGGTTATGAGTGGCAAAAAACCTATGGGGATGTAGCGGTGATCGCGGTGTTTGCTCGGCGCGCGCCTGGACAGTGCGAAGGTCGGGGGGGGGGGGTCGTAACCTTTTGGTTATGAGTGGCAAAAAACCTGATTGAAAAATCAAGTTGTTGTTTATTTAATGGGGATTCCTATGATATTAAGCATTTTGATAGGTTTTGAAAATAAGATTTATAAAACATGCTAAAAGTAAATAATGTAACTCTTACAGAATAGAAACTCAAAATTTGGCCATTTAAATTGTTGTATCTCCAAAGGGCAAACACCTATGAGCCTGATTCAAACGCCATTGATTTTGTTGTGTAATTTGCTTTCAGTGATACAAAACTTGAGATTTCTTTCTTTAAAAGATAAAATTCTACTTACTCTGACTCCCTACAAGAGGAAACCCATTGCAAGCTGTAAATTTGTAAGCCAGGCACTCCAAAACTCAGTGAATTCAACTAAAAAGATGTTAAAACTCCAACATAATCTTAGACTGGTTTTATTGATTATATTTTATTACGTGTTTTGATAGCTGGCCTCGGCCTCGGCCTTGGCCTCGGAGGTGGTGGCCTCGGCCTTGGCCTTGGCCTCGGGGTTGTGGCCTCGGCCTCGGCCTTGGCCTCGAAGGTTGTGGCCTCGGCCTTGGCCTCGGCCTCGGAGGTTGTGGCCTCGACTACAACACTGGTTGTAGTCGGGAAAAACTTGGTGTGGATTCTCAATGGAATGTGACTTCTTGAAGGAATCAGAATGGATTAAAAATATTTGTTGGAATTGACAAAGCCTCACCTCAAACTTTCTTTCAAAGTTCTCGAAGGCAAAGAGTCTCGCCTGGAAGCCATCGGCAAGAGGACCGCCTGGAAAATGGCAAAAGAAGAAAAGAGATGAGTGTTGGGTTTTTTTTAAGCTAAAAAAGAGTTTTATTGTCAAGACAAAGAAAACTTTGTCCTTTGCCTACTTTCAAGGGAAAATTATATAATGTACAAGAATATCCCCATAACTCAAAATGCCCGCACCAGTACCTCCTTTTATCTTGAAATTTTGTTTGGCTAAATCCATAAGAAACCACAGCCTAAACAGTGACAACGAGGTGTAAAGATAGCAAAACTTTTTTTCATGAGTAATTTATGCCGAACAAACTTCGTATTTTCACATCAGGATACAGCATACACGATGCCATTGTGATCGAACTCCAGCCCATAGCCGCAACAAATCCTGGCTTTCCAGTTAGCCAGATCGCTACCGATGGCCCATTTGTAGCCTGCAAGCCGGCAGTCCAATCGCTGGCTCTTTGCGGTGGCCATGTGACCGCAGGGGAAACGCGTGCCTGGCTTTTGAGTTAGCCAGCTAGCTGCAGCTTGCATGATAGCGGGCCCTCAATCGATCAAATAGGAACGATCATGTGACTGCACATCCAAAAACCCGTCTGTCACAACGCGTCGCGCTAACACTAAACTAGACTAAACATCCGCAAACACCACAAATTAAAGATTTGCTACTCAAAGCTACACAATTTGAGTGATTTATTGTTCTATTAATCCGTAGAGCAGACACTTTTAGGTAAAAAAATATAAAATCTGAGCAAAATGAAGATTTGTGATTGAAAAAAAAAATCATTAAAATCAATAAAAAGATGGAAAGTGAGCCAAATAACATATCAGGCATAGCGAGTTACGGTGAAAGCCATTCATGTACATGAACATGTACGTGATCATAGAAAAACTGGGATCTTTCCTTAACTCAAACTAACTCAAATTTGTTATCCATTCCCTTTAAGATTTGACTTTTAGAAACGTCACTGTACTCACTTGAGTCCGGGGTGTGGGAGGGTCTTGGGATGCGAGTGATCAGGGCCTCTTTGGCCGAGACAAAGAAGACTCTGTCCTCTGCCTGCTGTCTGGTCACCACCTTCAGCTCATCCACGAGGAACTCAATATTCCGCTGCAAGTGTTGCTTCTTTACCTATTGGCCGGAAAACAAAAAAAAATACTGTGAATAACCCTGAAACTTTTCGTGACATCTGAAAATACCCATGTAGCCATTTGCATATGATCCATGAAAGTGTCTATTTACCGTTCAATTTCGAAAGAGTTAACAACAAAGGCAGCATTACTGCAGTAAAACGATAAAATCTGCACTCTAACGTCTTGTGCAATTTCATATAGATGGGCACACCTCCCTTAGTCCTGCGACATCCTCAAAAACCTCTTGTGAATTTTGAAAGGATTTATAAAAGTCACAGCAAACCACTTTTTTTGTTTTCACTTTTTCTGGAAACGAGGCCTGTAAACAACACCATGACCTCGCTTAAGTAAATGTCAACTCATTCAGCTCTCTTTCTTAACTTGCCATTTCAAATAAGGGTTTGAAAATTTGAAAAAGGAAGAATTGCTTTAGGCCAAGCTGTGGCTTTTTGTGAGAGATTTTAGGACTGCAGATTTGACTCACTGCTTCCATTTCAGGTTCGTTGGCCGACGCGTCCCAGCGGTTGTTCAGGATGAAGATGTTGGGCTTGGACAATCGCTGACTGACCTTGTGGAAGAAACTCTTCTCCTGCGGGACAAATTTTGCACAAAAGAATGTCGCATTGAAAGTTTCTGCTAACTGGCGTGCAAATTAATCCTACATACTCTGCTCCATAGGACATACTCAGCTCCATAGGACATTTTGAGGACACCCATCTTCTGTGACCACTTGGTAATCTGTAAGGGCAATTAATTGAAAACAAGTCCCATCATGCTGAGCATACAATGTATGATGGGATGTATTTCCAATAAAATGCCTCCAGAGATTACCACGTGATCACAAAGATGGCGGTATCCATAAACAGTCTATGTGCTACTTTAAAATCGGTGTGTGCACGTAATATATCCTTTACCAACTCAGATTTTACTGAGTGGGAGACACAGTGCCTTTTACAATTCCCGCACAGGGCACATTGGTTTTGTTTTTCATGATAGTAAAGAAAAACAAGACATTGTACATACCGTTCTCATCAATGTCGACTCGGCATTAGACACCAGCACAAACACGTCGGCATCCATGCAGTATTTGTCAATCCACTGGTCCAAGTCAGGCTCCACGTCGATGCCAGGACTGCAACCAAAAAAAACAAAAACAATCATCATGGTGGCGGAATAAACAGACATGGCAGTGGAAGATCATTCTATTGTTGTCAACACGCGTGCCGCCATTTTGAAGAAGTCACATGATCATATCTCAGCCGTGGCATCATTGCCGTGTCGTTGGTCATTACCATGGTTGCGATTGTTTCGTGTTGAGATGCGGCTTGTTTAGATAATTACATGATTTCTCAGTTTTACCAGAGCATTACTTTTCTACTTGATGCCGACGGTTCTGTCGCAGTGCCAGCAAATCGCAGGTGGACCCATAAGGCCACACAAAAAAAGTCTCCTGTTTCTGGTACGGAGCTTGCCCAAAAAGTGGTGCGGCGACGCGGCTTCTTTTTTTTTTTTTACCTTTTTTTTTTGGCTTCAAATGTCGGCTGATGACTGCAAATGGTGCCCGACTAAACTTAGTGCAAATATTATGGGAGACCAAAGAGGCCACATAAAGCTTATTCTCGATCATAACCCCATCTAAAAACACGTTAAAATTGTGCAGCAGCAGGATTCCAGTCAAACCAGTGAGTTTGGCGGTTTTGAGACACCATCTTTTATTGAAAAAAAAACGTTTTCATTTTGCCGACACGCATGGCTACGGTGACGCGCGCGCATACCAGAAACCGGAGACTTTTTTTTTTTGCCTAAAAGGTGGACCAACAAATATCTACACATTTGAACACTGCCAATATAGTGCTGGAATGCTCAGTTGCTACAGCTCTGACAGAGTGTTTTTAGGAGGTCGCAGGTTGAAGTCGTGCTCAATTCAATGTTTTTGTTCAAACTTTTATTCAATATTGAATTTGCCCTTCACACAGGCGTACTCTATAAACACTGTGTCTTCAGTTCTGTCCCAAGTGATTGTGATGAAATATTCAAATTGAGTATACAATGGAGCGCTGTGGTCTAATGGTTACGGTGTTTGACTCAAATGCCGTGGTACGTGGGCTCAAACCCTCACAGGAACATGGTGCTTGTGTGCTTGGGCAAGACACTTGACTACAATAAGCCTCTGTACTGATGACGTCACACTTTGTTTACGTGTGCGCTTTCCTATGGTGCTCAGTGGACCGCGGTCCCCCACTGGCTGCATAGGAAAGTGCACGTGTAAACAAACTATGACTTCATCAGTACAGAGGCTTATTGCCTTCCTCCACCCAGGAGTAGAAATGGGTACCTGTGAAGGCAGAGGCTAGAATGCGCTGATCTTGAGCTGCTGCAATCTCTGGTCTCATAGCCTGATGAACAGGGGTAATAAGGGAATAAATGTGTGCTCGAGAGGTTTTAATCACTCTGTTTAAGACCGCTTAGAGTATGGGTGCTGATAATTACCCGAGCCGGACCCATTCATAAATACCTTTTCGGTCAAAAAATATATATTTTGGTCAAAAAATCCCAATTTTGTTCAACAAGTTCACTTCATGCTTTTTGAAACATCCCCCTAGCTAAATAATGGAGTGTTCAGCTGGCGATTAAGATGTAAACAACCCTTTTATGGAGATTGACGAGCGCGTGGCACATTCTGTGCGTTGTCGCGCAGAACACACCTGGGGCGTTGCGTTTTGAATTTAGAACTTTAATATTCTGACTCACTGGTAGTGTTGCGCATGCCTACGTGAGGACTGTGAACGTTCAACCAATAAAACGGTAAGAGGCACTGGATTTTTAGGAGTCCACATTTTATGTGACACTGGAAAAGTGTTGAAGACCAGCTAGCCATGTCTTTATCATCCGTTTAAGACCGGCCACGTGACGGGCTCTCGACCAATAGGAATGGCTAAACTGTCTGAGGTATTTATGAATAACTGTTAAATGCTTTGAGACTGTTGGTATAAAGCGCTATATACATTTGTAAGCACATTATTATTAGTATTATTATTATTATAATAATTACCCTGGATTGGACATTTGGGAGACATACCCATAGACTTGTGCACAAAATTTTTCAAACTTTAAGGTGCCCTAACCCAATATTCCCTTGTCCTTTTTCCACGAATTTCGGTATGTTCACTAATTAGACCACGAGCAACAAATATAACCTAATTGCAACAATAAAATTGTGCCTCTAAAGGGGAGCTGTGTCATTATGTCTCCTAATGACAGATGTCTCCTACCGTTCGAAGAAATTACGATACCGTGCCTCCTTAATGGTTCCATTACACGTATACAGTGTTTATTAAGTATGCCGGTGCAGGGCAAAAACCACTATTTAATCTACATCACCCGATGCAAATTCCATCTTAGGAACAAACCCTATGTACATGTACATGTAAATGATGTAACCTAGTGAGGGTTTGCTGTAACACCATGTGAAAGTATCTCCTTTGAGAAGATGTGTGGTTCTGAAAAGAACCGGTTGGTTGTGAAACTCGACGTTTCTATCAGTACGCTCTGATGATTTTTAGGATGATTTTTTTTCTCCTGAAGACGATCAGAGCATACTGAAGACGATCAGAGCATACTGATTGGAACGTTGAGTTTCACAGCAACTGGTTCTTTTCCGAACCACACATTTTCTCAAAAGAGATTCTTCCACATGGTTTTACCGCAAACACTCACTAATTTACACTACCCCCATGCACAGTTTCAAATTCTTATTTATGTAAATGATGTTTTTTTTTCTAAACTTGTAACAAACTAAACCATAGGGTGATCTAGAAAATTTAATTCTTAAAAAAATGCATGTTTTACCTGTCTAGGAGGACCACGTCGTTCTGTAGCAGGTGACATCGTGACTTGGGCCAGAAGACTTTGACTATGCTGCTCTGGCCGCATATCCTCTCATTGGACAGCGCATTGGCCATCTGACCGACGTTCTGAAGGATGTAAGAACCAACGGAAAGATTAGACCAACAATGCAGTTAACATCTTGTGAAAATGTGGAGCCTAAACAACCGGCTGGTTTGAAAGAACCAGTGATAAGAATGTTTCATCAATGTTTCAGATGGCATATTATGTTCATCGGGACAGAACATGCCGTCTGAAATGTTGGGAAAAAAACAGTCTCACCACTGATCTTTCAGAAAAGGATCGAGCATGTGGACAGAAACAGTAAAAACTGAAGTCTCAATGTGAAGGAATAAAAGCATATAGGCAGTTGAAGAAAGTCCAGTTAAAACTCCATGCTGAAAAACCCCAAATAGTGCTGTGTGGCCAACTTGTGAAACCCAGCGAAGGACACTGCTCACACTTACATGTACACCCACGTTTGTTTATGGTGTAAATCAAGGATTTTCTTATGTTCCTCTTCCCTTCTCCTTTGTTTATACTTTTTCGTAACAGCTCTCATTGGTTTTGTACACGTTTTCCAACCGAGGAGTCCTCGATTTGGTTTCTGTCCTCGATTTATCGATGATGTTGCGCGTATGTGTTCTCGATTTACACCATAAACACGCACATTTGTTCATGTGCATGCATGATGCATAAAACCAGTTTCCATTCAAATGTGCACAAGTCTAAGTCTCTATGCACAAAAAGGGACAAAAGCGTAAGCATGCAGCAGAAACATGTCTTTCAATATTGACCCTTTGTCATTTTTACCATGGGGGGGGGGGGCGAGTATGGAATCCAAAATACTTTTCACACAATGTAGCCATTCAGCTTGTCTTCTTCTTCTTCTTTACAAGTGCAGACTTCATGTGCTGAAGATAATCGCACTGCCAGAAACACCGGGGCGAACCCCTTCTCTTAGCGATAAGTGTACTGGGTTCTTTAACGTGCATTATACAACACACGGGACCTACGGCTTTACGTCCCATCCGAAGGACAAAGGAATAATGGTCAAGTGCCTTGCTTAAGGGCACAAGTGTCCACGTCCGGGCTCGAACCCACGTCACTGTTGCCTCTGAAACGCAAGAGCATGAGTCCGGTGTTCTTAACCGCTAGGCCGTGACACTCCCCGTCAGTCAAAGAGTGAGCACTGACGAATTAAATCACACCTTTGGGTCAGGTGATCGGGTCAAACTCGGTGGCAAGCACTATGAGAATGTAAACAACCCAATAGTGGGCGGGGTTTATGGTCTAATTTGGATCAGTCCATTGTCCATGCCGACTGTACCACGTACCTGTACGCTGAGCTTTTGCGTGGAATCATCCATCTGTAAGTACGACTCGTTGGTCTCGCTGCCCTCTACACACAGGAAGCAGTCTGTGGTGTGACCGATCCCGGTGGGTAGTACCTTGTCTCGCAGCATGGCGTTGACGACACTACTCTTGCCATTGCTCGTTCTAAAATTTGTACAAATGACACATGGAGAATATTTAAAATAACTTTATGCCACTCAGGATGCACGCTTTATAAACTACATAGATACCATCTGACTTGATACCAGAGGTACTGTAGGCTGCATACATGTATTGTTGATGCCTCCTTGCATGGCGCGGCCCCTAACGTGGCACGATTTGATTTTCTCGCATCCAGTGCCTTGCTAGAGCAAAAATTTACTTCAAATTCCAAAGTAAGTGAAATGTCATCAAGCTCTAGACACTGACATTCGTAAGCCTTGAGTTAACCTACCCATTCCAAAGTTAAGGGAGAAATTTTACTGTTGGCTAGATTTTCCGATTTTAATTTAAAGTATGCAATTAAACCTAAACTAAAAACTAAGAAAACAATTTTCTAACAAGCATGTTGTTGGCTACATGTATATGTGAGTGGAATTAATATTGGTTTAACAGAGTCTGTCAAACTTAGATTTTTAAAAATTGCAACTCACACACGAGGCTCCATCCACTGTTCAAGCATAAAGTCCACAGGAGATTTTACTATATACCTCATACATATTCATGATCGAGAGCCAAATTCACACTGGTCCATTCACCATCACGTGCCAGATGTTATTTTTGCAGTTTACCAAGCGCGTGCGCGATATTCACGCATAGGGTAAATACGCATGCGTACTAGACTTGTAACTCGGGTGAAAGTCTACTACGCATGCGCTTTACGATGCAATCGTGGAACTGTCGCACGTGTGTAGTATATACACGCTAACATTGCCCTCACTAGCTACACATGAAAATATGGTTGCACGCGTTAATGTCAATGATGCTGAACTGGAGAATATTGGACAATAAAGATGGCTTCCATACTAAAAAAAAAAGAGTTGTCCACAATGCGGTATAAACTCTGAGGAGTTATTGTATTGCAAACAAAATGAACTTTTCTGAGGTTGAGCAATACAATTTGTATGGTGAGCTGGACAAGTTTCTTCGAACTTTTTTTGCCTGCGAGGTGAATACTGCAACGGGAAAGTTCAGCAACTGATATGTATGATGCATAGTAAAACAAAATAACATGGTTTATTTCGGGTGGACAGCTGATTTTAGCTTCCCTCGGCATCGCCTCGGGAACTAGCCAACTTCGAAAACCTCAGGGAGCTAATATCGACTGTTCGCCCTCAAACCGTGGTATATTTGTAAATAGGTCACACATTGAATAATTGAGACAGTATCTTTCTTTCTATAAGAGCTCCCAAGGCCCATTGGCTTTGTCATTGGATCTATTATATAACTGACATACAGATCCTTGCTATTTGATTGGTGGAACTCACATCACGTGACACTCGTTATTGCTCCCATTCATGCCGGTCCTCAAAAAGTTCCATATGCCCATGGGGAATGGGAAATACTATTGAACAGTAAGGATCATTCTTGTTCCATGAACAGTATTTGTGTGCAAATGCATACTGGTGTGCACATTCAGCGTAGCCTGTATTGTTCCAAAGAGCCAGCGCTACAGAGTTGGGTTCAAACATTTTTGTGAAGGGGTGGTTTAGAAGAGAGAAACACATAATCCGCCAATTTTGTATTGAAATAAAAGTTCAAATATATATCAAATCACAAGGATCTATATGTCAGTTATATAAAACAAATATTGAGTGGCTTTAAATTGTGAAATGGGAGGAATATTATCGCTCGGTAAAGTCTGGCCTTTTCCAGTTCACTCGGCTTCACCTCGTGAAATGGAAAAGTCTAAATTTTACCTTGTGATAATATTCCTCCCATTTCACTCTGAGCCACTGAATATTTGTATACTATGTGCATAGGTCTGACTCACCTGCCAAAGAAGGCAACTTTCATGTGATCTCTGGCCAGCACCTCTCTGATGCCCTGCACCTGCGTGTAGAAGCCCTGGACTTTCTCCTGTAGGTCATCAGATACCACGTGGAGATCACTCGGAATCCCTGCGTGTGACAACAAATTGAATACATTGAAAATGAAATAACCATGACTGAATTGAAGCAAGAAAAGCTGCTGTTGCGTCAAGGGAAAAAGTTCTGTTTAACTACTTTGCGTCGGGATTATTTTTGCAGAAAAATTTTAATTTTCGCACAAGGCCAAATTTTCCAGCCAACTTCTGATATACAGCCCAACGCCACAAATACTGATTATCAAGAGACTTTTCAACAGTATTTGTGCGATATTTCTTGCCGAAACCTCAAGAAATACTCCGGGGTGTGCACCGCAACTTAAATTGTAAAATAGGCCGTGCACGACGGCCAATTCAATATCAACACACAATCCCCCTCCACAGACTTCACAGACTTTGTGTGTGAGTACAAAAGGCATGAGGAATTATTAATAATAATAATAATAATAACTGTATTTATATAGCGCTTTTTGCCAGAGGATACAAAGCGCTGGGGGAGAATGCAACCAAAGCCAGGTAAATGAAGTATGTGAACATATGAGACCCATTATGTAGCACCTTTTTGCTAGGTGCTGCGGCGCATATTGCTGCCACTGCCAGAAACACCGGGGCAAACCCCTCCTCTTAGCGACAAGTGTTACTGGGTTCTTTAACGTGCATTACACAACACACGGGACCTACGGCTTTACGTCCCATCCGAAGGACGAAGCAATAATGGTAAAGTACCTTGCTCAAGAGCACAAGCACCATGTTCCCACGGTCAGGATTCGAACCCATGTACCACGGCACACGAGTCGAACACCGTAACCATTGGACCACAGCGCCCCGCGTATTTAGACATCACCCGGAGGTGAGTCCACGCAATTTTGACGTTTTCTTGGTTGGGACAGGATTCAAGTTCTTTCTATTCCCTGAATCAACTCACCAGCTATGAAGTCTTTGCTCTCTCTCGTATGCGAGGCAATCTCCCCGAAGATTTCGTTGATCTTCTTCTTGGCATCTACGAAGAGCCGCAGAGGGGTGCTGGAATTGTTGTGGCTGGTCTCCGGCTCCATGCTTGAGGGCTGAGAGGAACGCTGGAAATAGCCTGACATAGTATTTCTGAAATTTAAATGAGAACTGACATTTTCAGTTTAATCAAATGTTATAAATTCTTAGGTACCTACTTTTTAAAGACAGCAGATGTTTTGCTGTCACTTAGTCTGGGGTTAGACGTTTCATGATTTATATGCAATAACTCCCTGCCGCGATAACTCCCTGCTGCGAGAGGGCGCTATCACAACCAACCAACATCGCCCATGGATTTGTCAGTAGCAACGTCTAGGCCAATTCCTATTGGTTGTGTAATGCACGCATACCTGTTGTGACTAATACATGCAGCGCGCAATTAAACAAATTCGAGTAGCTCCGAAGCAAACTCTCAAATTTCTTGAAGTGCAACAAAAGATGCAGCAAGACCTTTGTGCAACTTCAGTGGTCAACTCTTTTGTTATGAGTAGTATGTGAGGAACTAAAAATGGACTGTAATTGCCTGCAGTGGTCGCGCATGCGCACTAGACTAGTTTCCCCCATTTTTCAGGTGGGAAATTTCAGGAGATTGGTCGGGATAGCGCCCTCTCGCGGCGGCGGGATATCGCGAGTTTAACCTCATAATAGGAACGGGGTCCTAGGTAAGAATAGTGGAGAGCATTCTCGTTGTCTTGCTTTCCGCGACAACGCACCAGACGAAAATTGAACTCACTTGCAGCGCCTAATGTCTAATTTTTGTGAAATTTCATGTTGAAATTTTGATACGCAAACGTGTAAAAATGAATCTGGAAATTTCACGAAAAATATACATCTGAAAAAGGCAGCACTTTCTGATTAGCCTATAAAGAGGGTGAGTATGCTTCTAAAGCAAAAAAACCCTACAAACTAAGCCTAAATGTGAAAATCAAAATTTGGCTCCGTCGACACGATTTTTGTACATGTGGATGTGTGGCCTATGTTTACGGAGGCAGTCCAGTAAATAGGCCACATTTATGGGGCTAGAGTATACTCAAGCTAACTTTTGACAATCTTCTAAAAAAATCATCCACATTAATGAAAAATACTGTCTAAAAATACTGCCTATGTTGTTTATGAAAAATGAGGCAAAATATACAAACATTAGAGACTTTCCTATTCAAAACTGATAATGGCTTTTATTCTACAATAATTAATATAATTTCATATGGTTACCAAAATTGCCAATGAAAAACACGCCAAAAATAGTAGAAATGTATGCGTGGTACCCAGACGACATTGAATAGTAACACTCAATATCTTTTCATGGGCACCAGACCTGTGACTCATCACACTCGACGGGGAAATACCGTCTGAAATGGTGCTGTACTTCAAAATGCCACATTTTCACCTAAACTAATAATAATATAACCCTCAAAAACGCAGACACTTGTTTTGAGTATTTTCGATATCAAACTTACAAATATTTGATAGAAGTCGGGACCCCGCCGTTCAGATGTCGATAATTCGTGATTTCATGCCGAAACGTGCAAGTTGGATAACTACATTTTCGGCGAAGAGTACCCTGACGAATTAACTGTGGTTTCGTTGGCGATTTTCATTTCAATCATAGCACCTGACTAGTTGAAATCCCGGGTTTTAAAAACTATGGGCTAAACTTCAGGTACAGCTTCATCTCCCACACCAAACTCGTTAGAAACCTTTAACATCCAAGTGATCCAACCAAGAGAAAAACACTCTCCACATTGTGACTCTTATTATAAAATAGTCGGATCTTTTTAAAGCAATTCATTGACCTTCATTGAACGTTATTCTCTCATGATGTTAGAAGCACTGGAGGAGCGCTGCTCTATGCCAACTAAAGCCAAAGTTTAGGTGACTCCGAGGTTTAAAAAACACCAGCTCGAAGTTAAATAGTATTTTGAGCGCGTAATCATTTGCATAATTCACATTCTGATGTAATATAACTAAAAAATTCAGACCACTGGCTGTTCCAGTCGATAAATTTTGAGGAAATTTTTTTTTCATCTAAAATTGCGGTTTATAGGTGACGCAGTAGTTTATTGATCTGACGTCGCGCGGTTAGATACTATCAAATTCACACTAGCAATGTACAAGAGTCTACTGTTGTTCCACGCTTTTGGCGGGTCTTTTGTTTTAATCATCGGAAGTTTTTTCGAGGTGTCAAAATGCCACTGATAACTGGACGAGCTGCTGGGTCGTGGCCCACAGGGCTTTGATCCCACAGCCTCAGGCTCCAACAATGATTGCTTATACCACATCATTTTTTCATGAGCAACCGAAACTTCATTTTGGTCAAAATAGTGAAAAGTAGATATCACAATTCCTATCACTTTACCAACTTACGTCAGAGGCGGATCATGTAGGAACTTTTAGGGGGGAGGGGGGGGGGGGTTCAGGCCCGTCAGACTCAGGCCCCGTCAGATACTTAACAACCGCTGCAGTATAGCTTTACTTTCTGGTGTCGGAGGAGAGAGGGTTTCGACCCCCTATAACCCCCTCTGCCTGCATGTCAATGACAGTAAAAAGCCCCGTGTAATGGATTTTTATTCAGTTCAATCCTTAAAGTACATTCTTGTGTTTCACATAACTTACATTTGTTTTTCAATCTTGTATTTCAGGGGAAGATCTAGGAATTTTTGCGGGGGAGGGGGATCCAGGCCCGTCAAATGTTTATATCCGATTGTTGGGAACAGTACAGGCGGACCGTGTCAATATAATATACACATTTTTCGTGTGTGTCAGACGAGGGTGGAGGAGGGGGGGGGGTGTTTCGACCACCTCTGGATCCGCGCCTGACTTCCACTCTTTGTATTTGGACAGCCTAGATTCTCAACTCTGTCACTAGTATTTTAAAAATATACGGACATCTTTAAAAATGGAAACGATAATTTTGTTTACGAATTCGTTTGTCAATACTGCAAATCAGGCCTCTATTCCGTTCGCTGTTGCCAACAGTCCTTCGCCAGCCTGTAATCAAACATTGAATGTGCACAGTACGTTCTCATCCTTAATTCTAAAAAAAAAATAAGACTCAGACGAAAACAACATTAACCAGGACAACTTTCCAGGGTGCGCGGTTCATGATGTACATCTTTGTTTTATTGATGATGAGCGCGTCACTCGTACCCGCCCCCCCCCCCGTTCCCGCCCGCGAATCTTTTTTTCCCCCAAACGACATCCGTTTCCCATCTTCTGATTGGTCCATTACATAAATATCTAATGCCTTGTTTTCCACAACACAAACCCAAGATAGGTTTGATGGATGTCTCATACGCCTGGCAGAGTTGTCAGCAGTGTTGTAGTCGAGGCCACAACCTCCGAGGCCGAGGCCAAGGCCGAGGCCACAACCTCCGAGGCCAAGGCCGAGGCCGAGGCCACAACCACGAGGCCAAGGCCAAGGCCGAGGCCACCACCTCCGAGGCCAAGGCCGAGGCCGAGGCCAGCTATCAAAACACGTAATAAAATATAAAATACTAAAACAAGGCTAAAATTATGTTGGAGTTTTAACATCTTTTTAGTTGAATTCACTGAGTTTTGGAGTGCCTGGCTTACAAATTTACAGCTTGCAATGGGTTTCCTCTTGTAGGGAGTCCGGCGAAATATATTTTTTAAAGAAAGAAATCTCAAGTTTTGTATCAGGCTCATAGGTGTTTGCCCTATGGAGCAATTTAAATGGCCAAATTTTGAGTTTCTACTCTGTAAGATTTACATAATTTACTTTTAGCATGTTTTTTAAATCTTATTTTCAAAACCTATCAAAATGCTTAATATCATAGGAATCCCAATTAAATAAACAACAACGTGATTTTTGAATCAGGTTTTGACCACTCATAACCAAAACGTTACGAACCCCCCCCCCCCCCCCCCCGGACCTTCGCACTGTCCAGGCGCGCGCCGAGCAAACACCGCGATGCGACCAGACAATGCCAGAAGGCCCGCCGTTACGCACGGGCAAAGCATAGTTCCAATCCCGCTCCACACAACGGGATAAGTGTCCACGCATTATCACTGTTAATACCGCGGCACCAGACAAAGTCTGGCAATGGCCAATCTCGCTCCAAACAACACGGCAACACGGAACATGCGTGCATGATATCACTCAGTTCATCAAAATGACCATGAATTCTCGGATCATCCGATTTGAATCCAATGGCTTCGAAGAATTTTAAGATCATGGCAAGAGGTAGGGAGTCCAGAGATTTTGGCCGTATATCTGTAACCACGCAAAATTAGTCAATTTTAAACAGTGCTTATACATGTCGTAAGTATCAACATGGCTCTAAAAATACCAAAAAAAGGATCCTGGTACCACGAGGAATACTGACTCCTATTATTAAAACATTCATTTAGAACTTTGCATTCATTTGGATCATGGAAAAACGAATTCTGAAATCGCGCATTCCATATCGACCATTTGCGCCAAACATTACCGTGTGAGCCGGAACTTTCATTTAAATCACCGTGTAAAAATAAAATCTACTTAATAAATCGTAGTTGTTTTTATCATATCTTTATGGGAAAAAAATGGTATGGACTAGTACACTCGATCGTACCAAGAAAGTTCAGACTTTTACTGAAGCAGTGCCCTATAAAAAGAAATGATTAAGCTTGCCGCCCCTTGCCGCAAATCATTTTTAAAGGTCGGGGTACAGAGGCGAAACGAGAAAATGTTGTACAACACTGCAACCAGACTAGTCTACTACCACATGTTATTGTACGCAAATGGGATTGGTGCCAGACTTATGTAGTCTGGCACGCGGTAACAGTTAAAACGCTTGCACGCACGTGGAAAGCAAAAGCGCAGGCTAGGCGAAGATGCTACGTACGTGAGTACGTTCAATGCAACCATTTCCAGTTCATTTGTGCGTACATTGTATATGCGTTCGTTTCACGGAATCCACTGCGGCAGCATCTCGAGGGTTTGATACGGCAAAAAAATAAAATTAATTAGAATAGAAAACACATCAAAATGGGCGGCCTCGAGCCGGCCTCGACCGATTCGCCAAGGCCGGAAGGCTCCGAGGCCGAGGCCAAGGCCGAGGCCTTGCACCTCCGAGGCCAAGGCCGAGGCCGAGGCCATGAAAATCGGTCTCGAGGCCGGTCTCGAGGCCGAGGCCGGCCTCGAGACCTCCAACACTGGTTGTCAGTATTTTTTTTTTTTGAAATTGGAATTACGTGAAATTACCACTTAGCTCTGTGGGAGTCGATTACAGGTCTGAAACCCCAGTTGTCGCTCACCAATGCATATGCTTTAATTTTCTTTCAAATAGAGGGTTCGCAACATAAAAAATGGCTCGATCTCCCGGACCACCAAACTCGTTTTGGGGGCAACAACTCAAGAAATACCAGATGGATTCCATTGAATTTTCGTCCACTGATTTACCATAATGTTTAACATGACGAGATTTAATTTCATAAGAAACCGTCAAATAATGAAGCTATTATGGCCGTAACAACACAGTGTTTTGAGCGCGACCAATACAATCCGAATGCGAGTCGACGTGGGTTTGTCGCGTTCAAAACACCACATTGTTACGATCATGTTATATTTATTGTTCTACGGTTTCTCGTGATATTCAATACACTTATGTTACACATCATGGTTAATCACTGCACGAAATTTCAATTTAATTCATCCGGTATTTTTTAAGTTATCCTTCGGAAACGAGTTTGTTCAAAAGTGCAGCATCCGTGTTGATGCTTTGTGGAGACCACTATTTATGTGGCGCGCCCTCTATTAAACGAAAACTAAAGGAGGCACGCGCGCACATTTATAGTGACTCGATCTCCCGACCTCCAAACTCGTTTTGGGGGGCCGAACTCAAGAAATACCAGATGGATTCCATTGAATTTTCGTCCACTGATTCACCATAATGTTTAACATGACGACATTTAATTTCATAAGAAACCGTCAAATAATGAAGCTATTATGGCCGTAACAACACAGTGTTTTGAGCGCGACCAATACAATCCGAATGCAAGTCGACGTGGATTTGTCGCGTTCAAAACACCACATTGTTACGATTATGTTATATTTATTGTTCCACAGTTTCTCGTGATATTCAATACACTTATGTTACACATCATGGTTAGTCACTTCACGAAATTTCAATTTAATTCATCCGGTATTTTTTGAGTTATTCATCGGAAGCGAGTTTGTTCAAAAGTGCAGCATCCGTGTTGATGCTTTGTGGAGACCACTATTTAAGTGGCACGCCCTCTATTGAATTTCAAATTGAAAGGGGTTAACCTCGCATTTTTTTTTAAAGCGAAAATGGTAAAAAATCAAATGTTTCTGGAAAATTGCAGATTGTAAGGGGTTAACCTTGCTTTTTGAATAAGATGGGGAAAAATGAGATGTTCATGAAAAAAATTCAAATTGTAAGGGGTAAACCTTGCATTTTTTTTTAGCAAAATAGGACACAATCAGATGATTCTGGAAAATTGCAGATTGATAGGGCTTGACCTTGTATTTCTAGCAAAACTGGGCAAAAAGAAATGTTTATGACAAATTTTAAATTGTAAGAGGTGTATCTTGTATATTTAGTAAAATTTGGCAAAATCAGATTTGTATGAAAAATCTAAAATGGTAAGTGGTAAATCTTGCTTTTTTAGCAAAATTTGGAGCATATTTTACTAAAATTGGGCAAAATCAGATGCTTCTAAAAATCCAGATGTAAAGTTT